GTATGATAAAAAACCAATTCTCCTTTATTTGCAAACTCCTTCATTTGCCTCTCCAAGTGCAACATGTAATTCATCCTTTGATTTAGTTTCAACTTCTTAATTTTTTTTTATTGTCACCCTTCATTTTTTATACCACAATTCTTTCCCAATCAGCTTCCTCTTCCACTGACCCTTCCCTTTTAACTAAGAAAAACTGATAAGCAAGGTGGATTGAAAAAATCAACCTCATCTACAACTAGGATTAATGGATGAAAGTTGCAGGGGCAGATCTCTGCTTGATAATAAAGAAAAGTTTCCTAATAACTTCCAAAAATGAAATGAATTGCCACATGAGGTAGTGACTTTCCTGTCAATGGAAATCTTCAAACAGAAGCTTGGTTGACCCTTTGTCAGAGATGTTACAGAGAAATTTCCTATTCAGGTGCAGTTTGAATTGTATGCCCTCTGAATTTTCTTAAAACTCTGATATTTTATGGTCCTATGAAATAAAAAAGAATGACAATGACAAGAGCTGAGCCCCCTGCTACCTCGTTGTTTTGCTTTTTTTCTCACGTTGTTCTTTAGCACAAAACCAACCTTTTCAGTTTGCTGGAAAACACAAATCCTTACAATCACAAACTGGTATATACAAACATGCTTTTGTTTGATCACATTTAACCCACCAGGGGGCACTGCTAGCCACTAGTCTGATTCTGCTCCACAACAACGGGTTCTGAATGGTCCCATGTTCTATTTAGGTGGTTATGTGTCCCAACAAGACAAAGGGGAATTGTTAAGTCCTATATTATTCTCAGAGAGCCTTGAGAATCTCTGTACCCCAGCTCTATTTCTCTTGTGAATATCAGTGTTCATTTCCTTTTTCTTTCTTTTTGTTTTGATTTTTGGTGAGGCAATCAAGGTTGTGACTTGCCCAAGGTCACACAGCTAGTAAGTGTCAAGTATCTGAGGCCGGATTTGAACTCAGGTCCTGCTGACTCCAAGGTCAGAGCTCTATCTACTGCACCTCCTAGCTGCCCCATGTTCATTTTCTTAGTGTAAGGGTTGTGGTCTGTGTGAATTTATCAAATTAAACTCTTAGCTTGAGCCTATGCATTCCAGGAAAACTCTATCATTCTCCCCTTCATGCTGCATTTCAATAGATCCAAACCCCAAAAGAGTGGCATCATTGAGTCAAATGCAGAAGCATGATTTAAATGTGTCCAGTCTTAACTCATTACCAAAGAAATAAAAAGAAAGAGATAAAATTAGATATATATTAAAAGAATTCCTCTATGACTTCTTTCAGACTTAGATAGGCTTTAACTAATATAGTTATAACTATAGTCCTAATCCAGGTCAAACTATAGTTATAACTCAGTCATAAGTGTAGTCCAAACCCAGGAGTTCCTGACTAAAGTTCATTGTGGCCCCTCATTCACCGCCACCAGAAGAAAGCCACTATTCACATTGCTGGGTTTAGCAAACATATTCCCATGTGCTTTTCCATTCTCAGAATCCTGAAGGGTAAAGGTCCAAGAGTGTGTAACCTCATGAAGGCAGGGACTTTTCCATTTTTGTCTTTGTTGAATAGGAACTCCTTCCTGACCATTTTCAATTTTATCTTTGTAATCTTTTTATTTTGTTCCTAGCAGAGTACTTGGCATGTAGTAGGCATTTAATAAATGCTTGTTGACTAAACAAACAAATGAATAAATGAAAGGTCTACAAAGACCAAAGAACTTGGGAATTTGAATTCACTCCCAATGCTGCTCCTTTTCCACTTGAAACTCTGTTACTAGAAGCAACTCCCAATCCTGCCAGTCACTTCTCTGTAAATGGTTCATCGCATGGGCAACATGAGACTGTTGGATACTTTTTTCTCATTCAACACTAGTAGAATCATAGAGTCTAGGGGGCAGCTAGGTGGCGCAGTGGATAGAGCATCAGCCCTGGATTCAGGAGGACCTGAGTTAAAATCTGGCCTCAGACTCATAACACTTACTAGTGGTATGACCCTGGGCAAGTCACTTAACCCCATTGCCTAGCCAAAAAAAAAAGATTCATGGAGTCAGAGGCAAGCCAGGTACAGAGAGAAACTCCTCTGGCTACAGTCTCCCTTCTCCCACTTAAATTATCACTCCTGGAGTGGTTGCCTGGTGGCTGGCATGTCACATCATTCCCAGCTCTGAGTTAGTCTCTTAGTATGATCTCTGCTTTCTATTTAGGTCTACCTACACTTGGATTCAGGAAGGCCCGAGTTCAAATCCTGCCTCAGATTAGGTGTGTGACCCTAAACAAAGCATTTAATCTCTGTCAGCCTCAGTTTTATCATCTGTAAAATGAGAGTGTTGGACTCAGTGGCCTCTAAGACCCCCTCCATCTCTAAATCTATGAGACTATGTAACATGGGCCAATGCTTTTCAGATAAGGAAGAGAGTAAGTATTTATGTAATGCCTGCTGTGTTCCAGGCACTGTGCTAAGAGCTAAGGCAAACAGAAGTTAAGTGACTTGCCCAGAGTCACACAGCTGGTAAGTATCTGAGACTGGATTTGAACTCAGGTCTTCCTGTGCAGTATTGAAGGGTTAAATGAGATACTATTTATAAATCTCTTTGGAAACTTTAAAGTGCTATGTGTTATGTTGTTGTTGAGTGGTGTCCAACTCTTCATGACCCCATCTGAGATTTTCTTGGCAAAAATACTAGAATGGTTTCCCATGTCCTTCTCCAGATGAGGAAACTGAGGCAAATAGGGTTAAGTGACTTGCCCAGGGTCACACAGCTAGTAAGTGTCTAAGGCCAGATTTGAACTTAGGAAGATAAGTCTTCTTGAGTCCAGGCCTGGTACTCTATCCACTTTGCCGCCTACCTGTCTCTGTAAATGTTAGCTATTTTTAATGTAGTGTATTACTATTCCTATGGGCTCTATTTTTTCCCTTATGCATGTGTCTCTAGGCTTTCATCAGTATTGTTTTCATCATCAATATCATCACCATAGGATCATAGACTTCAGAGCTGGAAAAAAATTTGCCAGCTCCAAACCCCTCATTTTACAGAGGAGAAAATTGATGCTCAAATAGGAGAAGGAATTTGCAAAGGGCCAACAGGTAGTATCTAAGCACCTACATTGTATGAGACCCTGTGTTGTCACTGAAGACACCAAGAAAATGTCTAGAGTATAACTTCAAAAACAGGAGAAAGAAAAATGACTTTAAATAAAAAAAAACAGAGAAACAAAGGATATGGGGACATATGAGGAGGGAAGGAGTGAGATAGAAAAAGAGGGAGATTGACAGAGAGACAGAGACAGGGATGGACAAAGTGAGAAAAATGAAGAGACATGGAGACAAAGAGTGAATAATAATGAAAAGGAAATAAGGGAGGAGAGAGCATAAAAGAAAAAAAAAGTCCTGAAAAAAGAGGAAAGACAAGCGGGAGAAATAAAGAAAATGCCCATAAGAAAGAAATAGAAGTAAGAGAAAGTGAGGGACAGATTTAAACAGAGAGGAAGAGCTCATTTCTAGTCAAACAAGACAGGTTCCCCTTGCCCTTTCCCACAGACTAACACAACAACAATAATAATAATAATAACAACAATAATAATAAATTCAAGACTCAGATTATCTGGAGCTTAGTGAATGCTCCTCAGTTTCAGACCCCTTATTAGGGCTAGCTAAGGAAACTACTTTCTTTGTTCTCTGTGAAGAAAATTCATTTTTTTTCTGCTCTGAGTAGGGATTGTATATTTTTCTAGTCTCTTCATGTCTTCCCCAACATGCATTCACACAACATACAAACGGAACCGATAGACAAAGATCTGGAAAAAAAAAAATCTTCATCATTTTAAAAGATCGAAAATAGGGAAAGACCGAAGACCTGTAAGTCAGGCCCCCATGTACATCCTCTGAACGATAGACACTAAAAGGATGTCTCAATCCAATGAGAAGGAAACCTTTTTTAGCCTTAAGTCTTTCTCGATTTTTAAAAAAAAAAAAGTATTTCTGCCTTTTGCTTTTTTACACCTCAAACAGTTCCCTAAACCCTCCCCCACCCAGCCCTCTTGCAGCTCTGATTGCCTGCCAGCCTTACAGCTCCTGTGGGAAGTGGGGGGGGGGGTTGGAATCTAGACCTGGAATGAGATTTGCCTCATCTTAGTTAAGGGTTCATGGGAAAGTCCCTACATGTCAGTTTCCTCTCTATATGTGAGTGATGGTTCTTGCTCTACCTGGCGCACGATGTAACTGGAAGGAAAGCGTGCCAAGAGAAACGCCAGTCTTAATAAGGCTGTTCTAAGGTCGCCTCCTGCTCTCACAGTCAGGCTGTAGAGTCTTTGAGAACGTGTCTGGGTTTATATTGATACTCGCACGCCCTCCTTTTAGGGCTTTTAAGAGGTCGGGGGCTTCTTTGGGAGTGCAAAAAAGAAAAGTTTAGACATCTTAAACATTGTATTTCTGATTCCAAAAATCTTATTTCTGCCTTGAAGAATGTGTGTGTGTGTGTGCGTGTGTGTGTGTGTGTGTGTGTGTGTGTGTATGGGGGTTGAAGGTGGTGATCTGAACTAAGTTAAATGAAACTGGAACCCACCCAATACACACACACACACACACACACACACACACACACACACACCTCCAAGCAAATCGCCTCCAACCGCCAGATGTTCTCAAAGCTCGTAACCATCTGTTGAGATTTCTCCACTAGCCCAGGATGGGGTGGGGGGAGCTGGAGTGGAGGGGAGGAGAGAGGCAGGGTGCCGAGGGCGGGACGGCGGAGGAAAGCTTGGATAAAAGGGAAGAGATAGATGGTCTTAGGACCAAACGGGCTGGACCAGAGGGGAAAAGGAGCTGAGCACTTTTGAGACGCTCCCTAGGGTGGGAGAAGCCGGGCTGCGGGGCGGAAAGAGGCGGGACCGGGGCGGGCCTGGAGGGGAGGAGGAGCTAGCCCCGACTCGGGCCCTTTCGCGACGCTCCCTGGAGCTCCTGGGCAGCTGTTCCGCGGTGCCTGCGGGGAGGAGGGAGGTGGCAGCAGCGGCCGCCGCGGGAGGAGGAGAAAGAGGAGGAGGAGGACCCAGGCACGCACAGAGGAGATGAGAGCTCCGCGCTCGGGCTAGGCGGCGGCCGCAGGATGAGCAAAGACAGGCTGGAGAAGGGGCCGGCGGCCCAGGCGAAAGACTGAGCACCGCGGGGAGGGCGAGCGCCGCTGCAGCCCGCAGACTAGACTGGAGCGCTGGAAGGTGTGTGCGCGGCGGGGCCGGGGCAGCAGCAGAAGGACGAGGGGGACCTTGCATTCGTTCTCCCGGTGCACCCGATTGGCATTGGTGGGGCAGCTGCTGCCTCCTGGGCGTGCAAGCGCCGGGCACCGAAGCCCTCCCTCCCTTCTTCCCTTCCTCCTTCCTTCCTTCCCTCCCTCCTTGTCGGGGCCCCAGCTCTTTCTCTCCTCGTCCTCCCCCCAGGAGCCCGCCGGCTGCTGGCTCTCCCCCCGGGCTCATTCAAAGCCCCAGGCTCCCTCCTAAGGCTCTCTTTGCCTGCAAAGCGCTCTCCTCTCTGCAGCCTGGGCCGGAAGGCTGAGCTCCTGTCCCCTCTCCTCTAGCTGCCTCCTCTGATGGTCATCCTTGCACTGCTCTGCGGTCAGGGCTGCCGGCAAGAAAGCTCTCAAGGCACTCCCTCTTCTTCTAGAAATGGGAGCTACTAGTATCCCCATATATTACAGAGAGGGAAACTGAGCCTCAGAGAGCAGGAAGGTGATTTGCCCGCGAGTCACCGGGGCTGATCAGTGACAGATGGAGCTGGGTCAAGATGGGGTCTGCCTATGTCCTCTGTCCAGATCCAGGCTCTTTTCACCGCACCACGCGGCCTCCCGAACTTTTCTCCAACTTCGAGCCCACCCCCTCTCGCCACTTACAGCCCCCAGTCTGGGTTCCTGACTGGATGTGGGTTTACTCGGGAGGCAGGGGGCTCTGCAGGGCGCAAGGTCTCTCTGGGCCAGCCTCAACTTTCCCTTTTTCCCCAAGCTAGTGACTGCACCTTTGGCTGGGGGGCTCCGGGAGTGGCCTCTTGGCTTCTAGTTTGGATGTAGCCCGGAAAGTGGGGTGGAGATGGGGGGCAATGGGAGGAGGAGAAATGTGGATTCCGAGGCTCACATAGGCTTTGGAAAACAAAGGCCAGTGAGGGGTTAGCTTGAAAAGAGGTGGTCTCAGCTGCATCCTACAGCTGCTGGTCAGAGAATGGGTAAGAGGTGGGTGTGTGTGTGTGTGTGTGGGTGTGTGTGTGTGTGCTTGTCTGTGCCTATCTGTCTCTGTCTGTGTCTGTCTATCTATGGAAAGGTATCGGGATTTGGAAGCAGAGAGGCTGAGTTGCGATCTCTGCTCTCTTACTAACTAGCTGTGTGACCTTGGGCAAGTCATTTATGCTTTTCTGGGCCTTAGTTTCCTCCTCTATAAAAGGGGGCAAGGATAGATTTATAGTTTCTCAGGTTCCTCGCTACTCCAAATCCTATGACTCTATTTGCTTGCATGTGTAATGTTTTGGGATTAGCTTTCGCCCTTCCCACAAGCCCTCCTTTCCCAGGATGGGAAGGGGTGTTGTGAGTCCAGAAATTCATCGCTTTCCACTCCCTATTCAGAAGTTGAAATCCCCAGAACCGAAACTCTACACCCTTTGGAGCGGGGAGGAATCAATCATCCACCACCACCGTGAGGGGAAGAAACGAAGATATAGGGGAGCCTCTGTAAGAGAGGGGGTCTTTGATTTACTTGAGTGGAGGTCTGGCTGTAAGAGAGGCAGAATAGTCTCCCGAAAACAGGATACTAGAGCCCTCTGCCAGGTTACTCAAGTCCTGGCTAACTAGTCTCCTCCCTGAATGTCTTTGCACTTGGGGGGGGGGGAGGGAGAAGGGGGGATGGATGGCAGAGGGACCGACTGCCTTGCCACGGCTGCAAGTCCAGCAGCCCCAGCGGCTAGGAAGGCTCTGGTCCCCGCCCCAACAGCCCCACACTTCGGAGTTGGCTCCGCCTCCCCCGATTTGGTCGGGCCCTCCCTCCCTCTCTCTCCCAGTCTGGAGAGAGGGGCTGTAGGCTATGAGGGTCTTGCACAGCACCACCCCCAACCACCTCTTTTGCCTGGGATGAGTCTATTTCCAAACTGGGGGGAGAAGGGGCCATGACTGAGGAAAGATGAGATGAGGGGACCCTACTTTTCGAATGATTCAGAAGTTTCTCCCTCCTCCATTCTGTCTGGATCAGCCCAGACATGCCAGCCAGAGGAAAGACTAAAACCTTAAGAAAGGGGGAAGTAGGGGGTGGGGAGTGACTGGCTCTGGGTTGTTTCATGGTCAGAGCTGGGAACCAGTGCTGCACACAGATAAGTGAGGACAGAGAGGGGGCAGTTTCCCAGCCAGAAATAGGATGGAAGAATAATGTCTGTCCCCAACCCCTCAAACTCCTCTGACCCAGAACTTTGCTGGAGCCAAAGGACCTCCACCCCTTTTCTGAATTAGTGGTGCTCAGAATTTATTGTATTTCTTCCTCTCCAGCTTCTTTTTGCTCCCTTCCCCCCAGCTCAATAGTGATGTGTTGCAGAGACTAAGTTCCCATTCCCAATTTAAGGAGAGAGGAGGAGATGAAGAACTCCTTAGAATATCTTTGGGAGCGTGCCAGAACAATAAATGGTAGAGCTGGGAAGGGACCTTAGTGGGACAGCGAAGGGATATTGGAAGTTCAAAACCCACTTCTGCCCCTTACTAGCTGAGAAACTTTGAACAAGACACCTTTTCACTCTGGGCCTCAGTTTCCTCATCTGTGAAATGAGGAATTTAGATGATTTAGATCCTTTCCAGCTCTTCCCCAGTATGAACTTAAGAACACAGAAGACAGGAGGTCACAGCTAGAAGAGACTTTAGATCGGGGGATCTTAACCTGGGTCCATAGACCCCCATAGATTTCAGGAGGTCTGTGAACTTGGATGGAAAAAAAAATAACATCTTTATTTTCACTAACCTCTAACTAAAATTTAGCATATCCTTCAATTATGGATTTAAAAAAAATTATTCTGAGAAAAGGTCTGTAGGTTTCACCAGACTTCTAAAGGGATTCATGATACAAAGAAGGCTAAGAACCCCTGTCTTACAGACTGTTGGTCCTACACCTGGAACCCCTCCCATTTTACAAAGAAGGAAACCAAAGCAGAAGGGACATTAGACTAGGAGGCAGGACACTTGGTATGTTGTTTTGACTTTTTGTGACCTTGGACAAATTGGTTTCCCCTTCTGCTCCTCTGCTGCCTTGACCCTGAAATGGAGATAGTAATCCCTGCCTTGCCCAACTCCACAGGCCCATCGTAAGGATCCAGTCATCCTTACTGGATAGGAAAGAGCTTTGTAACTACAGAGCAGCATACAAAGGTGAACTGTTATTATTGATTCTGGTATTAACACGTATGTTGTTGTTGTTCAGTCATTTTAGTCACGTCCACGTCTCCGTGGTCTCATGTGGGGTTTTCTTGGCAAGATACTAAAGAGGTTTGCCATTTCCTTCTCCAGCCCATTTTACAGATGAGGAAACTGAGGTGAACAGGGTTAACTGACTTGCACAGGGTCATATAACTAGAAAGTGTCTGAGGCCGGATTGGAACTCAGGTCTTCCTGACTCCAGGCCTGGCGCTTTATTTACTGCCCCACCTAGCTTCAAATTACCTTATATAACCTTGGGAAAGACAGTTCCCCTTACTGGGCCTCAGTTTCTCTGTGTATATCATGAAGGAACTAGACTATGTGGATATCTGAGATCCTGTCCCTAAGCAGAGCTGTCTGGCTAATTGTCAAGGTACATATAAGAGACCTGCTTTGTCCCCTCCAGCATTCAAAAACACAGAAGAGAGTAATCTCTTCCATTTCCTAACTCTCAGAGCACTTAGTCTATAAAATCATAATATTTTAATACTTGCATGTGTCTTTGATCTCAGTGATGTGGGCGTGCCCTCCACCAGTGTAGATTACAACTCATTCATGTAAACCTCACATTTATAGAGTGTATTACCTAACAGCTGGCATCCAAGATTAACGGGGAGAGCACTAGACTTGGAATCAGGAGAACCTGGGCTTAGTCCTCGGCTGTGACATCAACCACGTGACCCCGGGTAGTTACGTACCTTTAGTTTCCCCTTCTACAAAACAGGGATCATATACTATCTCACAGGGTTTTTGTGAAGCTAAAATGAGATGATGTATTTGAAATGCTTTGTAAATTAAAGAAGGCAAGTATTATTGTTCCTGTTTTACAGATGAAGAAACTGAGGTTTGTAGACATGGAAATGACTTACCCAAAGTCACCAGTCTTGTAGCCAGGTCAGAGTTCTTTTCACCACAGTGCCTCTCTTATGGCCTTTGCTGTATTCTCCATTGCATTAATTCAATCTGACAAACATTAATTAAGCTCCTATTGTGTGCAGAAGAACACTGTGCTAGGCAGCAAAGGAAATACTAGGTGTAGAAAAACATACCTTCATGGAGCTTACAGTCTAGTAGAGCATAAGACAGACAGAAATAGCACAAGAGCATCAGAGAGGCGAAAACTTGAGTGCCTTGCAAATCCCAGAGGCAAGGTCATTACCAGCCAGGGGATGAAGGGAGCCTTCTTAGAGGAAGTAGAATTTGAATTGGGCCCTTTAAAGGATAGTTAGGACAGACTAAGGAGGAAATTATTGTGTGCTCATCTTTTCTGCCAGATGCATGAAGGGCACAGAGTTCATCTCCCGCTTTCATCTCTTTATCTTCCCCAGAACCAAGCACAGATTTGCCCAAAGTGTTTAGAACATTTTTATGAACTTGAACAAGAAACCCTCCTGGAATAGAGAATTGGTGAGAGGAAGCACCTGGCCCTTACCCAACCTGGAGGAGCTGGATTGGGAGGTAGTACATAGTGCAAATGGTTTGCTTTTAGAGCCATGAAGGGAGTGATTCCCAGGTGTGACCTGATGGGGAGGGTGAATCTTAGTAGGAGGTGTGTGTGTATTATATATATACATATATATATATATATATATATATATATATATATATATATATACAGAGAGAGAGAGAGTGTGTGTGTGTGTGTGTGTGTGTGTGTGTGTGTGTGTAGTCATCCACCTCTAGTCCAGGACAGAATGTCAGGTGGAATTTGTCATTTTTGGATGTGTTTTTTTCTAAGGAAAAGTCAAATCACCTTTGCTAAGAGTCTGGAAAAAAAAAGTCGACTCTTTGTTGAGGGAAGTGAAAAAGAAGGAAAATGTGGTAAAATGGGAAGAGTACTGGATTGGGAGTCAAAGGGCCAGAATTCAATTCTGCTAGTGACTTCCTAAGTGACCTTGGGCCAGTCATTTTAGCCTATCTTTCAGAAAGGGAGATGGACAGGTCAGAGATAGCAACCACAAGACCCAACTCTATATCTACATTTATCATCCTAAGGTTCTTCTGACCAGAATCCTCCAACCACTATTAGAGGCTAAGATATAGCTTATTTACAGTCTGATAGGTGGAATACCAAGAGACCTACTTCTTTTCTAGTTAAAGAACATAGAATCCTTAGAATGTGAGAGCTGGAAGGGATGTTAGAACATATGATAATAATGATAACTAGCATTTATACAATGCATTAAGGTTTCCAAAAATGCCTTACAAATATTATCCCATTTAATCCTCATAACACAACCCTGGGAGGTAGGTGCTGTCACTAACTCTACTATACAGATAAGGAAACCGAGGCCAAGAAAATTTAAGTGATATGCCTGTGGTTTAGACAACTAGTAAGTGTCTGAGGTAAGTTTTGAACTCAGGTCTTCCTGATTCCAAGTCTGACACTCTGTATGAATACATCTGTTGGATAGATACCTATATATCACAATATCTAGCTGTCTGAGGGGGAGAGGGACCTTAGAACATAGAATGTCAGAGCCAAGAGATGCCTTAGAACACAAAATGTCAACACTAGAAAGGACCTTATAACACAGAACATCAGAGCTAGGGGGGACCTTAGAAAAGATAGCATCAGTTTACTTGTCTAAAAAATGGGAGTCATATGTACACTAAGTCACAGGGTGCTGTGAAGAAAGCAGCTTGTAAACTACTCTATAATTATAAACTTTAAATAGAACTGGAAAAGAATCTCCATGAGAAAGTTGGACTTTTAGCTCTAACAGCCTCTCCGTTTTCCCCATCTGTCAGTAATAGCAGGGGAAATTCTGTCTGCCCTGCCCACTTTCTTGAGATTGATTGTGAGGGAGCTGAAGGAGACAGGGGCAGGGACTGACTGCCTCTGTGATTTCTTTAGCATGAAGAAGTCCTGGGTGAGAAAGCCCCTCAACCAATGCAGGTCAGCATCCTCTATGCAAGTCGCGGTTTTGGAACGTTACCTGGAGTATTGAGGGGTGGGGAGCATTTAGAAAAGTTAAAGAGCTGCCCAGCTGGAAAGAAAGAAGTGACTTTCCCGGGCACCTCCATGAAGTTGGGGACTAGAGCCTTTAGAATGTAGGGAGTTATTTCTCCCAAGGCTCCAGCTCTTCCCACGGTTGACGGCTTCCAGAGCTTACCAGGCAGGGTTGGAGGGAGGAGAAGGGGGGAGGGACAGATGCAGAATCAGGGATTCCATCGGCGTCAGAGTTCACAGGGTCATGAGCCCCGTCACCCAGCCTGTGAAATACCCTAACCCTCCCTCCTCCTGTGAGAATATTCGGGCCAAGCAAGGAAGGGCAGGGAGTTCCTTCTAGCTTTCTTTCAGACCCTGAAAATCAAGCTGACTAAATCATTCTCCCATCAGAGGATTTCTTGTTGAAGGGTTGGGCTGTCTGGTAATTCCTTGGGTGGGAGAGGAGGCAGCAAGGAGGGGGAAGATGGGCCTGTTGGAGCCAGGATCTCTGAAGAGGAGAACAATTTATAATAGTAACAACAGCTCACATAACTCTACCACCTGATGGTTACAGCCCGATTCACAACTATTATTATCTCCTTTGGCCCTGACTGTCACCTTCTGAGATAGGCTAGGGCAGTGTTATCCTTCCCCTTTCACAGAGGAGGAAACCGAGGTCTAGAGGGTGGAAACGATCTGTCCAAGATCATGTCGATACTAAATAGCAGAACCAAGACCACAGCCGTGTTTTCTCTAAGACCTCATTCTCAGACTTGGAAGGTTGCTCCAAGGTCATCTGGTCTAACCCCTACCTGAAGCTCAGATCCCCTGTATAAATGCTGGTGTTTTAGAAAGAGTAGTAGATCCAAAGGACCTGGGTTCAAATGCTGACTTGGTCACTTGTTATCTATATGGCCTTGGGCAGCTCATTTGATTATTCTGGACCTCTCCATTTCCTTGTCTGTTCAATGAGAAGGTTTGACTAGATAATTTCTGAAGACCCTTCCAAAACTGCCAGTGACGTGAAGTTCAGTACTTTCCAAGGCAACCAATTCAATTTTTGAACAACTCTTATTGTTAGGAAGTTGTAGGTTGCCCAGTAGATAGAGCACTGGACCTGGAGTTGGGAAGACCTAAATTCAAATCCGGCTTTAGACTCTTACCAGATATTTGATCCTGGACAAGTCATTTCATCTCTGACTCTATTTCCTCAACTGTAAAATGGGGATGATAATAAAAACAACCTGCCTCCCTCAGTTGTTGTGAGGATCAAATAAGATAATATTTGCAAAGCATTTAGTACATGTAGAGTAGACACTATATATTTTCGTTTCCCCCTCTTCCCCCCTTCCTCCTTTTAACCTTCCTCTCATTGTTCTCGATTCTTTCTATCCTCTGAAGGCCCAGCAAAAGTGAGAGACATTTTGGAATAGTAGAAAGAGCACTGGTCTTAGAGACAGAAAGTCTGGGCCTCAAGGTCAAACTCATCCACTTTACTAGCTAAATGAGGAAGTTAGAGATGATCCCTAAGGTCTCAGCCAGCTCTAATGGTCTGTGAGTCTGAATCTGTTTGTGGGACTCATCTCTGTGTCATGGATAAGTAACTCCTAGCACTTACCTACCAAGTCATCAAAAAGTTGTGGTCTTCTTTGAGAGAAGAAATCACCCTACTCTGAGCTCCCTATCTGATGAAATTGCAGATGCCTTTTTTGTGAGTCTATAACCCAACCCTCCTTCCCCGGGATAGCCCTTTACACACTTAAAGGCAATGTTCTGCCTCCCCAAGGCATCACTTCTCTGGATCACGTATCTCAAGTTCCATCAACCAGTCCTCGTAGGGCATGGCTTCAAAATATTTAAATCCACTCATTCCGCCACATCCCATCAGTATTTGGAGGAAAACATGTTCTTCCTGAAATTGGTCATCATAGCTTATATGTTGTCCATATACTCCAAAACAGGGTGGGAGCCATGTGTCACACACTGGCCCTGGTGTAATGGAAAAAGCCCTTGCCTGGAAGTTAGAACACCAGGGTTTAAGTCCTGATTCTAACCTTATCTAGTTATATGAACCAGGCCAAACCTTCTATACCTACCAGCCCCAGCATCCCCATCTGTAACATAGGATGATAATAATAGGGCCATTTTCTTTTTATATAATTTTGCCAAAGTGTATAGGCTCATAGGATCATTGATTCAGGGATGAAAGGGACCTCTGGGTCATCTGTAGGTAGCTAGGTGGCCCAATGAATAGAATGCTGGACTTGGAATCGAAAAGACCTAGGTTTGAATCCTGCCTCAGACATTTATTAACTGTGTGACCCTAGGCAAATCACACTCTCTTTGAGCCTCGGTTTCCTCATCTGCAAAATGGAGTTAATAACACGACCTACTTTATATTGTGAGCATCAAATAAGATAACATACTTAAAGCACTTTCACACCTTAAAGTGCTATATAAAATGCTAATTATTTGGGTTATTCTCTAGGCCTACCCCAATAGGTCCATTTTCTATAGGACTTTCAAGTTTACAAGTTGCTTTCCCTACAACAATCCTGTGAGGTGGAAGGTGTAGGCGACACAGCAGGGCTTAGTAGGTAGAGGATAACTTGGAGTCAAGAAGGACTAGATTCAACTCTCACCTCAGACTCTTAGAGTTGGATAGCCCTGGGCAAACTGTTTCCTCTCCCTGGGTCTTAGTTTCCTAATCTGAAAAGTGGGTATGATAATACCCCCTACCACTTCACTGTATTATGACAATCAAATGAAATAGTGGATGTAAAGCAATTTGCTGGCCTTCAACTGCCACAGGTCCCTATCAAATCAAATCACCTGTCTTTCTCCAGATTCCGCAGCTGTTAACAGAGGACATAAACGTACAGAAAGACAATTTCAACAATATCAGCGGCCCCTGGTAGATGCTTTTGTCATCTACCCATGCTGCTGGGGGGGTTGGCGACTTGTGCAAACACACTTCAAGATATGGGGTGAGTCAGACCAATATTTACTGAGCACAGCACCACCCAGGCACTGTAGGACAGTATGCCCCAGTGTAGACAAGACCCTGCCTTCAAGGAGCTCCCTGGGAGGATAGGGCTGACACATGAAAAGCTAATTAATAATAGAGGCAGTGTGTGATAAGGTCCTCAAGAGTAGCAAGGGAGTGGGGGTGGAGAGAGGTGGGGAAGACAGAGACAGGGAGGGAGGAAGGAGAGAGAGAAGACAAAGAAAGGAAGGAGAGAGAGAGGGAAGAGAGAAAAGGGAGGAGGGAAAGGAGAAAGGAAGGAAGGAAGAAAGGGAGGGAGGAAGGAAGAAAGGGAGAGAAGACAGAAAGGAAGGAGAGAGAGAAGAGAGAGAGAGGGAAGAGAGAATGGAAAGAGAAGACAGAGAAAGAAAGGACAGGGAAGAGAAAAGGAAGGAGAGAGGGAAGAGAAGAGGGAGGAGGGAAGGAAGAAAGGGAGGGAGGGAGGAAGAAAGGAAGAGAAGACAGAAAGGAAGGAGAGAGAGGGAAGAGAGAGAGAGGGAAGAGAGAAAGGAGAGAGAAGACAGAAAGGAAGGAGAGAGAAGACAGAGAAAGAAAGGAGAGAAAGGAAGGGAGGAAGAGAAGGAGAGAAGACAGAGAAAGGAAGAAGAGATAGGGAAGAGAAAAGGAAGGAGAGAGGGAGGAGCAAAAGAGAAAGAAGGAAGAGGAAGAAGAAGAGAGGAAAGAGAAAGAAAAGGAGAGGAAGAGAATGAGAAAATGAGAATAAACATTTGTTCTATTTGCCAGGCACTGAGGATACAAGTGGAAGCAGACTGTTTGGTGGGGGGATCTGGTGTGGAGAAGGCCAGGGAAGTGAGGCTCTTGGTGAAAGGTGAAAGCTGGCTAATCAGATCCCGGGGTGACTGGGGGAAGGTGGAGTCAAAGTCTCCCCACACACACCCCCCCACATGGAAATGGAGATGATAGTCTGGGTGGGGAAGGCACGTCACAGAGATGTCACAGAGATGGGGGTTGAATTGGACACTCAGTGTAGGGGCCCCAGATTTGGGGCCAGTGCCAGAGCTGTGGCCTGGCCTGCCCTTTATGTTAAGTTCACCAGTGTGAACTTGTGCACCAATGTGCACAGCATGTAACTTCTCTGAGCCTTAGTTTCCCCGTCTGTAAAATGAGAGGGTCAGATGACATAATCTAAGTGCAGGTGGGGAGGACAGTTAGGGACCGCTGGAATAACCCACGCAAAATGCGATAAAGGTGTGTTTTCAGAGAACGTTCCTTTGTGCATCCCTGTATAGACAGGTACAGGTTTGTCTTCTCTCCCTAGACTGTGAATGCCTATCAAGGATGCCCAGACTTGGGCAGCTTTTCCTTAGACTGAGTAGGAATCTGTCTCCCTCTGATCCTGGTTTTACTGCAAACCACACAAAACAAGTCATCTCCGTGACAGTCCTTCAGATATTTGAAGATAACCATCCAGTCCCTTCTTCCCGCTCCCCCACTCCCACCCTTGCCCAAGGCTCCTCATCTCCAAACCAAACATTCCTAGCCTTTCTGTTCTTAAAGAATTTCTAGCTTGTTCCCCAAATTCCCTTGTCTGCCTCCCAGATTATGAACAGGGTCAGGTCCAGAGGGGTTTGGCCAGATGTACAGAATCTGGGATCTCAGTACCCAAACAGGCAGGCCATCTCATTAATAATAATAATAATAATAATTAATAATAATAAAAATAATAATAAATAGCTAACATTTATACAGCACCTACTCTGGGCCAGGCAGTGTATTAAATGCTGTACAAATATTACCTCATTCAATTCTCACAACAACCCTGCAAAGTAGGTGTTATTATTATCCTCATTTTACAGACACAGGGTAAAGTGACTTGCCTAAGGTCACCCAGCTGGTATCGGAGGCTGGATTTGAACTCAGGTCTTCCTGACTCTAAGCCCAATGATCTATCCACTGCATCACCTAGATGGCTCCATTAAAAGGGGCTGCCTCTGATCCTGTCTGCTCCTTACCTTTCTTGCCAGCCTGACCAGTTCTTGCTTAACCGGCGAGGCCCACAGTAGAAATCTGGACAGGACCTGACTGCCAACCCCACAACATTTCTCAGAGTCCAGATGGAATGCCCTTCAGGGAACTCTTAATCAGCAGACATTAAGTAAGTTTCTACTCTGCACTGAGGCTCTGTGCTTGGCAATTTCAGTGATTGTTATCCTGAAAGGGACCTGAGAACATAGAATGCTAGATCTCAGGACATAGAACATAGAATCTCAGAACCAGGGGGGTTCTGTATTATTATTCTATATTATTATCTCCATTTAGCAGATGTGGAAACTGAGGCAGACAGGTTAAGTGATTTTCCCAGGATCACCTGGCTAATAAGTGTCCAAGGCAGGATTTGGACTCAGAGCCTCTTTGTGACTCTAGGCCCAGTGCTCTATAAGGATAGTAGATAGCATGTTGCCACTGGAAACAGGAAACTGGTTCAAATCCTGTCACTGGTGCTAGTTGCATGGCCATGGGCAAATTACTTAAGCTCTCTAAGCCTGGCTCTCTCTGTGTATAAAATGGGAGTTGATAATACAAGATGTTTGGCGCACTCTAGACTTGTGGGATTCCTTCAGTGTTTCTTAAGAGACACTTCTTTTGTTTATCCCCTTTCCCCTCTCCTCTATGTTGTTGTTATTTATTCATTTTAGCCACGGCCAACTCTTTATGACCCCATTTGGGGTTTTCTTGGCAAACGTACTGGAGTAGTTTGCCATTTCCTTCTTCAGCTCATTTTAGAGATGAGGAAACTGAGGCAAACAGGGTTAAGTGACTTGCCCAGGGTCACACAGCTAGTTAGTGTCTAAAGCCAGATTTGAACTCACAAAGATGAGTCTTCCTGACTTCAGGCCTGGTGCTCTGTCCAGCAGAAATGGAGAACCACTTCTCTGGTTAGAAGTGGCTGTACCATAGTCTCACATTGGGAACCCTAGACTTTCACAAGAGAAGCTTTGTACTGAGACTTGGTAGAGGTAGAAGGAAGGAGGATGGCAAGGATTAGCCCGATCCTTCTGGTGCCAGATCTGACTCTGATAGATGTCAAAGCTACAGAAGACATCAGAGGCAGGCCATCTAATCCAGTGGGGGGCCTGAGGATAGAGCCCCATCCACGCTAATCCCACCAAGTGGGACCTGCCCACCCTCCTAAATATGGCCAGTGCCTGGGAACTCCTTCCCTCCTGGGTAAGCCCGTTCTTTGTTGGGCAGCTCTGACTGTGACACGGTCCTGAAGAATCCGAGGATTCAGAACTGAAAGAATCTTCGAAGTCATCTGGTCTAACCCCCTCACATTTTACAGATTTGGCCCCTCTGGGGCCCAGAGAAAACTGACTTGTCCATGGCCACACACCTTTCTCTATATTGAGCTGAAATTTGCCCTGTCTTGACTTCTCTACAGTCAGTCCTAGCTCTGTCTTCTGGTGACAGAACAACTCTCCTCCTTTTTCTTTGTGATAACTCTTTGGGTATTTGAAAGCAGGAAAAATGTCTTCCCTCCCTGTTTCCAAATCTTCTTTCTCCTGGTCAGACATCACCAGTTTCTTTAGCCAGTCCTAGTAAGTAGCAGAGCTGGGATTCAAAACCAGGGCCCCTAAATCCAAAACCAGTACTGTTTCCTCTGTACTATATGGCCTGTAGTTGCTTCACTATCCTGGTCGCCTTCCTCTGGATTCTCTCTAGCATTTCCTGGAAAAGACATTAGACGTAGGATTGTAGGAGCACAGATTCAGAGCTGTACAGGTCCTTTGAGGTCATGTTACATGTGGGGGAAACTAAGGCTCAGTGACTTGCTCAAGGGGCCAAAAATGAGGCCCCATCTGCCCTCCAGATGGAGTCTGACCAGAGCAGAGGACAGTGGTGGCTATTGCTTCCCTCCATCTGGACACTGCTTCTCTGAAGGCAGCCTAAGATGGAGATTTGGCTCTGGCACCCCAGGGTCAGCTCAGAAAATGAGGCACTCATTTGCACACTTTCCTTGGTAGCAGCCCAAGGAGCTGTGCAGAGTAACACATACATAGAGTGGCTTCCAACAGGAGTTTGGGGCTGGATCCCTGTGGTCTGCCCTTAATTACTTCCTTCTGGGCTCTGTGGCAGCCACGTCCAGCCTCTCCCCTCCCTGATGTTGCTTGTAATTCTCATAGTGATTTCTTCTGTGTTCCCCTCCTTATTGTCCCACTTCCCCTTCCTCCTTTAAGAAAAAACAAAGGGGCAAAAAGTCATTCTTGGAGCTGGGAATCCCAACAAGAGAGAGCCTGTGGGTACCCCTCACCGTGAAATCAAGTTAGGTTATGGGAGAGGCTGGGTGGGAGAAAAGATGCCTGCTCAGCTATTTCCTCTCACTAGAGGTCCTAAAGCAAAGGTGGAATGACTGACTACCTGTCGGGTACCTTGAAGAAGGGATTCTCCTTCAGATGGGGGTTGGACTACCTGTGTGGGGAGGGCCAGCAAACTGCACCATCCAAGAGGGTCATCGGATATAACTTTAGAGATGGAAGGGATCCTGGAGGCCATCCAGTCCAGCCACCCACATTCCCCAGATCTGAGGCAAAGAGAGATATGACTTGCCCAAAGTCACACAGCTAGTAGGATTCAGTCAGAACTGAGAGTGTCAGTTGTGGAAAAGACCTTATACCATAGGATCACAGGAGCACAAATTTAGAGCTGGACAAGTTCTTAGAGTTTTTTTTTTTTTAAATAGGTGGGGAAACTGAGGTTTAGAGCAATTTAATGACTTGCTCAGTCATATAGCGAATAAGTGTCAGACAGGGGATTTGAACCCAAGTCTTTCTGACTCAAAGTCCAGCTCTCTACCCACTATACCATGCTGCCTCTAACATTACATCATGAAGTCTAGATAGGACTTTATAATATAGAAAGTCAGAAGTGGAAAGGAACTTAGCAAACAACTTTTCAAGGCTAAAAGAGCCTTAGAACATTGAATGTGGGAGCTAGACTTTAGAACAATGGTTCTCAAATGTTTTGGTCTGAGGACCCCTTTATGCCCTTAAAAATTACTAGTGACTCCCTCAAAGAGCTTTGTGATCCATATTTGCTATTATTATAATTGATATTAGATATCCATATTAGGATCTATATTAGATATCCATATTACTATTATTATAATTTATATCTAATATCCATATTAGGATCCATATTAGATCCATATTTACTATTATTATAATCTATATTACATACCTATATTTACTATTATTATAATCTGTATTCAATATCTACCCATATTTGCTATTATTATAATCTATATTAGATATCCACATTAGAATCTATATTATGTATATATATTTACTATCATTAGAAATTAAAACATCTTGGTACTATTATGAAAATAGTTTTAGTTTGGGGACCAGCTTATTCCCCAGACCATACTTTGAAAACTCCTACCTTAGAGAATTAGAGAATTAATCTTAGCATTCATTCCTTTCAACATATTCAGTTTAACCAGCAAGACTAAATACCTACTTCCTATCTGCTAGGCCCTGTGCTGGTGACACTTTGGTGGCTAGAGATTTTATCTTCAGTGGTACAGCTCAGAATCCATCCACACCTGCTCTTGCTGGGTGATTCCTTTCCATGGCCACATCTTCTTATAAATCCTCCAAAGGCAATCCACCAAACACATTGGAGATGTTTCTCTAGGCCTTTCCACATTCTTGAAAGGACTAATATGGTGTTTGGGCTTGGGATGCAAATGTGAAAAAGGCCCCTGCACTTACAGAATCTTAGGATGTAGTGATAACAACTTACTTTTCTACCCTTCTAGGGTAGGTGGTATGAATATTATTTTAAAGTTAGAGAAACTAAGTCCAAATAAGGGGAACTAATTTAATTTGCTTAGAGTAATTTGTTGTTGTTGATTAGTCATTTTTCAGTCCTGTCCAACTCTTCATAAACTCGTTTGGAGTTTTCTTGGCAAACATACTGGAGTGGTTTGTCATTTCCTTCTCCAGTTCATTTTGCAGAGGAGAAAACTGAGGCAAACAGGGTTAAGTGACTTACCTAGGGTCACACAGCTAGTAAATGTCTAAGGCTAGATTTGAATTCACAAAAATGAGTCTTCCTGACTCCAGGCCCCGGTGCCTATATGAGGTAGGTAGTATAAATAGTAGAATCCCTATTTTACAAATGAAGAAACTCAGGCCCAGGGAGGGGAAGTAAACTGAGACTCAGCTGACCCCACCATGTCACAAGTCAGGTTGTCTATGTTTGGGAAAGAGGGTCTCAGGTCCCTCAAGCCTCCTCTTGTATGTGAGCTTTGGGGTCAGCCATCAAAGCCCCCAGAGTGGGGAAATGATTATGGAGGTGTGAGAGGAAAAGGGAGACTTTTCCCTGAGCTCTTTTCGTATTTCAGGAAAATGGCAAATTGTCAGGAAACACTTTCTCTTTCCTGAATTTTCCCATTCTTCTCCTCCTTACAAAATCATCACCCTCTCCTTCCAAGCCCATCTAGAAATTTTCCTTCCTGAGTTCGGGCCAAGAGCATTTCTTTCACTTTTGATTCCTTCCTGAAGCAGGGGGATAGCCCGGTTGGTTCCCTTTCAGTTTCTTTTCCTGGCCACCTTTCCCAAGTGGCTCTCTTGTCCCAGTTGTGGCCTCTACAAGCCATCTGTCTTCCTTCTTTTGAAACCAGCAATAGACTCACTTTGTTAGCAAACCAACCCTCAGCGTTTCTTCATGCTAACAGCTCCCTGAGGTATGACTCAATGCTGAGCAGAGGTTGAGAAAGGAGAGGACCATAGAATGTCAGAGGAGGAGAGGGAACATAGAATGTTAGAGCATAAGCTTGGGATGTCAGAGCCGGAAAAGGCCTTGGAGGCTAGAATGTCAGAATATATCAACTGATCAACATGCAGTTATTATTAAGTGTTACTGTGTGCTGGGCACTGTGCCAAGTTCTGGAAATACAAAGAAAAAAGGAAAAATAGCCCCTGCCTTCCACAAGCTTACATTCTAGTGAAGAAGTCTATGTACATAGACTGGTATATACAAGGTTCACAGAGTAGATACAAGGTAACTTTAGAGGGAAAGACACTTAACAGCTAAGGAGTTTAGATAGTGCAGTGGGTAGAGCGATGGACCTGGAGTCAGGAAGTTCTGAGTTCAAATATAGCTTCAGACATTTACTGGCTGTATGACCCTGGACAAGTCACTTCATCTATTTGCCTCATTTCCTCAATTATAAAATGGGGATAATAATAGCACTTACCTCCCAGGGTTGTGAGAATCAATGAGATAATATTGTTGGTATTGTTCAGGTCATTTCAGTCATGTCTGACTCTTGGTGACCCCATTTGGGGTTTTCTTGGCAAAGATACTGGAGAGGTTTACCATTTCCTTCTCCAGCTCATTTTACAGATGAGGAAACTGAGGCAAACAGGGTTAAGTGACTTGCCAGGGTCACACAGCTAGTAAGCGAGACCAGATTTCAACTCATGAAGATGAGTCTTCCTGATTCCAAGCTCAGTGCTCTATCCACTGTGCCAACTAACTGCACCTCAGATAATATTAGTAAAATGCTTAAGACAGTGCCTGGCATATAGTAGGCACTACATAAATGTTAGTTTTTATTATTACTATTATTAGCTAGGAGGAAAGGTCTCCTGAAGAAGATAGCACTTAAGTCCTACAGAATATAGAATGTGAAGGCTGGAAAAGGACCCATGAGATCATCTAGTCAAATCCTTCCATTTTACAGAAAGAGAAACTGAGGCCCAGAGATAGAAATATCTAGAAGAAGCAGTAGCCTTGCCCGCCTCGGTAAGTACCAGAGATGCTTTAAGGTCAGACAGCTTCTTTGCAGACCAAGGTCAGCTGAAAGATAGATCAGACAAAGAAAACCAATGGAAACAGAAGGTGGAGTGCTTGATTTTCATTATTCATAAGTTTGGTGTTTGGATATATTTTTCTCAAGGCTAAAACCTCCTTGTTCTTGTCTCTCCTGTGTGTACCAGGTTTCATGTCATTGGTCTTTTTATTTTCTTTTTAAAAGCCTGGATGGCTGACAAGTTCTCGTTCCAGCCCCCTGTCAGGGCTTAATGAGAATAGTCCACCTTCTTATTTCTAAAGGAGATTTGATGCATTGCTTATTTACTCAGCATCCATTAATGTTCGTGCCTCAGACCTCCAACCCAGTCAAAGGCAATTCGTGATCCTAGAGAACATTTCCTTCTCAGTCTTACCCAAATTTGCACTGGGTTAGTGGTAGATCTCAGCCTAGAGCCCACTTCTTCTCACTGCTAGTCTAAAAAGCTTTATTTTTTTAATTTAAAAAAAGTTTCATTTTTAAACAATAGACATCTATTTTCTCTCCCTTTCACCCCCTATTCCATTAAAAAGGAAAGGAAAACTCATTTCTTGTAAGAAAGATGTCTAGTTAGGCAAAATGAATTCCCCCATCGACCGTGTTCAAAAATCCAGGTCTGATCCTGCCCCCTGACTTGTACACACCTCCACCCCCCACCTTCCGTCAGGAGGTAGATAGCATCAGTCCTCAGGAATCATGGATCACATTGATCAGAGCTCTTCCAGCTTGCAAAGTGGTTTGTCCTTACAGATGGGTCGTTAACGTATAGAGATTGCTGTCCTGGCTTTGCTCATTTCTCCTGCACCAGGTTAATTCCCCAGCTCACCCCATGCCCAACTTCCTTACTTAAAATGTTATTGTTTTCATGCAAGTCACCCAGGAAAGGTCCAAAATTCATTAAATGTTCCCCTTAGCTCCCAGAGGCTTCCGCTTAGTCCTCTTTACTCGCTTTTTAGCACGTAGAAACAACATGTCAAATCCTTGGAACACAGAATGTTAGAACATCCCCCTTCTAGGTCCTAAAGATCAGGTGTCTTTCAATGCTTTATAGTACAACTCCCTTATTTTCCAGACTGGAAAACTGAGATCAAGAGAGAGGTCACAAGAGAGAGGCCCAAGGTCACAGAGCAAGTCAATGATCAATCCATGTTTCTTAAGGTCCTTGGACTTAGAGTTAGAAAAGATCTTGGAAATTATTTCATCTAATTTTATATATGAGGAAACTGAGGCTTAAGAACTGGGAAGGGAATTGCCTGAGACTCACGCAGTGAGTTAGTGGTGGAGCCAGGACTCGCACTCAACTCTCGTAACTCCCAGGTCTGGGTTCTTCATACCGCTGCATGCTAACCCTCCCAGTTTGAATTCAAGGCTTTTAAACTGAATCCCCTTTTTACTATACCATGCAGCCTTTCAAGCAAAAGCCAGATGACTGCTTCTCTGGTATGTTACACAAGGGATTTTTTTTAGACTAGTTCTCCCTATCTGACCTAGGCAGGAAGTGCAGTGGCCTATCACGGGCCCAATCCTGCTATCGATAGGTGTGGGAACTGTATTTCCAACCTGGGCCGGTTCACCCTTCTGTAAGCAAACGGTGCCAGGATAAATAGTATGAACACCCAATCCAATTAGCCCACTGCTGCTCCTAACTGCTGAGTTCAAGCCAGCTCCTAGCCTTGGCCTCTTACTAGCAGGGATTACAGGTGTGGGCCTTCCCTCCTGGCCCTCGGGGAAGATTCCAGTTCAAGGACAGGTTGGGCTAAATAAATAGCCCCTGAGGTTCCTCCTAACCTTGAGCACGTGTGATTTTTCTGTAAAGTAAGAAAATGGGACAGTCAGTGACTTTTGAGCTGGATGTGACCCCAGAAACCATCTACTCCAATCCCCTTCTTTTACACGTGGGAAAATGGAGGCCCCAAGCTAAGATAGCCTTCCCAAGATTTCACAGGTAGTGAAGAGACGGGACTTCCCCCCAGGTCTTCCGAATGGCAGCCTCATTTCAGTGCACCCATCTCTAATATTTCTCCTCCACTCTGGTTCCCTTCTTTGCCCTCATGGTGGCTGAGTCAGGCTGGAGTTGGGCCTTCTTGCGTAACCCAAGATCTGACAAAAGTGACTGTTTCATATTTAATGACCACAGAGTTGTATAATCACCTGGGGTGACTGAAGAATAATCTTTGGGGCTGTCTCTCTTGCCTTGCTTTCGTAAACCTTTGGAACGGATCTGTGTAAGAAGAGCTGAGCCTGGCACGGGAGCTCAGACCGGTTGGATGGAATTAATAGTATGCACAGTAAACAGGCTGGAACACAATACAGGGTTTAGGGTAACTTTTCTACCCCGCTTTGTTTCCTGAATTCTGAACACCCTGGCCCTCCCAGCTAGGGTTTGGCATGAAAGGCACCTGAACAGGCTTTAATCTGAAAATTGGCCTGAAAGGAACAGGAGGCCAGCAGGGGGATGGGGGTGGAGGATAGAATGGATGGGTTTGGGGGACTGGGTACAAGCCAGCTATGTTTGTCCTCGCCCTGTATCAGAGCCCTGGGCAGATAGAGTTGCTGGCCCTTTAAATGTTTCATGGGAGCAAGGCCAGGGAGAGGGAGGGGAGTTCAGGAGGGGAGGGCCGTCTGGCTGAACCAGGCAGAGTGCTTGGGGAAGCCCAGAGCCTTCCTCAGATAGGCTTATCTTGGAATCCTGTGACTAGCCCTTGGTGCCAAAGTGCGAGAGGTGATATAGGCACTGGGCTCCTTCCCGGCTCGAAGTGACTTCTTTTCTTGGGTGAGTTGACGCTGGTCAAACTCCTTTGGAGAACTGTGTGCGGTTCAGTGCATTATGGGCTAGATTAGACATTGATGCACTAGAGAGGAGGATCTTGGTGTCACCGATTGGGCACAGGGAGGCAAGGGGACCCAGAGTTTGTGACCTGGGGTGACTCACTTTCCATCTTTGGGCCTCGGTTTCCTTTTCTGTAAAATGAGACTAGATAATATCTAAGGTCTTTTTCAGCTCTACAGATAATGATCCTGTACAGAGAAGGATAATCTAGTAGGATCAGTAGAAGGAAATGTGGATGTTTAACCTGGGGAATAAAAGACCTGAGGTAACAGGGTCTTTGTGTGCCTGAAGAGCTATCCTAGGGAAGAGGAAATTGACTTTTTCTGCTTGGTCCCAGAGGAGGGAAACAGATTGGGATAATGCATGGGAGTGAATCCCCTGTCTAGACATTTTCAGTCAAAGACTGCCTGACCACTTCTTAGATATGCTATAGATTTTTAACTAGGGGCTAGACTACATGCCTTTTGAGGTTTCTTCTGACTCTTAAATGTTGTGATTCTATGACAAGGCAGATTTCATCTCTATATAAGGAAGGGAATCCTAACACTCAGAGCTGGCCTAGGATGAAATGGGCTGCCTTAGTAAGGAAGGGGTTCCCCATCACTGGAGGTATTCAGGCAGAGCCTAGATAATTATTTGTTGGGGACATTGTAGAAGGAATTACTTCAGGGGTTGGGAGACTGGACAGGAAGAAGCTGAGGTTTCTGTCAGGGCTGAAATTCTTGGTGTTGGCCTGGGAGTCAGAAGACCTGAGTTCTAGTCTCACGTGTGCTATCGACTCGTGATGTCTTCTAGACCAAATCTGTCTCCTGTAAAATGATGGAATGGATTCAGGTGGTCACTGAGGTCTCTTCCAACTCTGACATTCTGTGTCTCGGGGTCCTTCCCAGCCCTGACATCCTATGGTTTTATAAAATTGCCCTTTGTGCTGGGTGTTGACATCTCTCAGACCCTGACCCTGACCTCGCTCTTCTTGTCTTCCAGGCTGCACAATGCTGTGGTCCCTCTGGCTTCCTCTCCTGTTCCTGGCCCCTTGTGCCAGGGCCATTCGCCCGTGTTTCCCAGGCTGCCATTGTGAAGTGGAAACCTTCGGCCTGTTTGACAGCTTCAGCTTGACCCGGGTGGACTGCAGCGGCCTGGGCTCCCACATTGTCCCGGTCCCCATCCCCCTGGACACAACCTACCTGGACCTGTCCTCTAACCAGCTGGAGATAGTCAATGAGTCCATGCTCACAGGACCAGGATACACCACTCTGGTGAGCCTCGACCTGAGCTACAACCGCATCGCTCAGATTTCTTCCACCACCTTCTCCCGGCTCCGATACCTAGAGTCCTTGGACCTCAGCCACAATGCCCTGACGGCCCTGCCTGAGGAGAGCTTTGCCAGCTCCCCCCTGAGCGAGGTGGATCTGAGTAGTAACAGACTAACCGAGATCTCCATGGACACCTTCACTTCTCGAGGGCAGGGGAAGCCCCTCAATGTGGATCTCTCCCACAACCTCCTTACCCGGGTGGTGCGGTCACAGCTGGACAGGGGCACCCCCAATGTCCAGAGCCTGAACCTCTCCTGGAACCAGCTGCAGGAGGTGCCTGACCTCCAGGGTCTCCCCCTGCGCTACCTCAACCTGGATGGCAACCTCCTGAGCAGGGTCCAGGCAGGGGCCTTCGCCGGGTTGAAGGACCTCATTCACTTGTCCCTCGGCAGCCTCCGCCGCCCTACGGAGCTTACCCCGTTTGCCTTCCGTGACTTGCCAAGCCTCCAGGTTCTGGACTTGTCAGGCAATCCCAGCCTTCAGTCTGCCAGGGCAGAGGTCTTCTCCACCTTGAACTCTCTGCAGGAGCTGAATCTATCAGGCACAGGGCTGGCAGTCCTGCCGGACCGGCTTCTGAAATACCTCCCCTCTGTCAAGAGCATCACCCTGGGGAAGGACCTCTGGTGCGTCAAGGTGGTCAAAGAGGGCCAATACCGACGAGAGATGGGCCAGACCAGAAAGGAAGTCTTGTATTGCCATGATGGCCACGGCGCCGTGGCCGAAGCCCCCTATGTCTTGTGATAAACATCAGAGATAATAGGCGGAAATAGGGAAGGCCCCTGGAGGGCCTGGGGAAGGGTAGGACCCACATGGAGGTAGGAGGAAGAAAAGCTACACTACACCTCCATTACGAGCAGATACTGAGGCCTACCCTCGTGATGCCATTTTTTTTTTTTTGGTAAGCCTGTCAATTTAATTTATATTTGTATGTGCCAATACCAGGTCTAACTCCTGAGTGAGTGAGTGTGTGTGTGTGTGTGTGTGCGTGTGTGGTGCCTTTCCACTTCTCCTACTATTCCTCTGCCTAGAGGCTCCCCTATGAGGCCACTCTTGGTCTTGCCCTGAACAAAAATTCCCACCAGGGGCTTCTATTTCCTAGTCTCCTGGGTAGCACCTGGGACCAGTTAGAGAATATTGGGAACCAGCCATCAGAGCCGAGGTGTGACGGGAAACATTCCTGACTCCAAAATGCCCCTGACTTGGACATCCCCTTTCTGGACTCTGAGGAAAGAGAGGGAAGTCTTCCGGAATACCCCGCCCATGGATCTGGGGAGATATCAGAGCTTAGGTGGAAGTTCAGGACCAAGAGAAGAAGGAATCATGCCTGAGGGGGTGTCCTCTCCATCTCAGATATCTCTGGTCCCTCCTCCAGCATTCCCCAGCTCACATCTCCAACGTTCCCCTTATCTTTGACTTAGTTATCCCCTGGCTCGGACATCCTCCCTCCCCCACCCACACCACCCACAGCCATGTAATGTAGCCGTGGCTCGTTTGGTGCCAAAGTGGGCCCCGAGCCCATCTCTGCCTATATACCCTTGGTGTTCTTCCCAAAGTGCCTTCCCCCAATGGCTTGACTCACACTGTGTTCAGGCATCTTTCTCTTAGGGGGGTTTGTTTTGTTTCATTTTGTTGTTGTTGTTTTTTTAATAATGGACAAGCTGAATGAATAAATCAATAAAGAAGGTAGTCATACCGAATAAATGTTTTCTCATCTGAAAAACTTCTGTGGTGTGAGGGGCTATGTATATGTGTTGTGTCCTATTGATTTATTGGGGACCCTTCTGTGCTTTTGTCCTCCTTCAGTTCCATATTTTGCACCAATTTATTCTTTCCTATAAGACCTTTCTTTAAATACCAGTCAGTGGACAACTGAGGAATATACTGATATAGAAAAAAAAAAAAAGCATTGATATCTAAGCACCATAGGGGTTTGAGTAGACTTCACAGTCAGCATGAGTCAATACTGTCAAATGGGAGCCCAGAAAATGAATCCAGTCTTAAGCCATGCTGAGAAGCATGACTTCCAGATTGAGAGAGATGATCATGCTGCGATGCTGTGGCCTGAGTAGACCACATCTGGAGGAGATGCCTGGAGTATGTGGGGAGGAGGTTAAAGTTCGTATGGGAGTGGAGGTTAAGATGAAAAACAACTTCCCCTCTGCCCAGGCTGCTCAGTTCTAGGTGCCACGTCTTAGGAAGGACATTGAGGAAATGGAGAGCAGCCAGGAAAGGACCCTATTGATGGAACCAGGGATGTGTAGCCTAGAAAAGGAAAGAGAAGACTTGGGGAAACATGGTGGCTGTCTTTGAACTATTTGGAGGGGATTGTCTTATGGGAAAATCCCCGGAGGGCAGAACTAGGAGCCATGGGTGAAAGCTGGATCAAGGCCAATTGAAGTCTTGATGTCAAGAGAAGCTTCTGAGTTCTCCCAGAGTGGAACAGGCTATTCGGGAAAGCAGTGGTGGCCCCCTCCTTAGGGGCTTTCAAGCAAAGGCTGACTGACCACTTGCCAGGTAAGCTATGGAGGGAAATCTTTTTCAGGTATGGGTTGGACTATATATACACTAAGGTCTCCCCAGTTTGGAATTTCCATGATGAATTCTGCCACTAGATCTGTCTGACCCTGAACCAGTCACTATCCTGATCTAGGTCAGTTTCCTTAAGTGCAAGACGAAGTGGTCAGCCTAGATCAGAGATCCCTAACTTGGAGTCCATAAACTGCAGATAGATTGATAGAAATATGTACGTATGTATGCACACACATATGTGTACATGTGTATATCTATATATATATATATACCCATCTACCACACATATATATAATGAAATATATCCATATATGTATACATATACACATATACTAAAATGATGGTACAGCTATATATGTGAATGTATAACATATTTTTATATATTATAGACACACACACAAATGTATGCTTGTTGTATATACGGTCATTTCAGTCATGTCCAACTCTTTGTGACCCATTTTCTTGGCAAGGATACTGGAGTGATTTGCCATTTACTCCTCCAGCTCATTTTACAGATGAGAAAACTGAGGCAAACAAGATTAAATGACTTGCTTACAGTCACACAGCTAGTAAGCATCTGAGGTAGGATTTGAACTCAGATTGTCCTGACTCTAGGACTGGCACTCTAGCCACTGTGTCACCTGGCTACCATATATACATACACACACACACACATACAGATGTATATGTATATAACTTTCAATGTACTTATTTCTTTTGTCATGCTATTTATTTTATCTAATGCATTTAAAAACGTAATTCTGAGAAGTCCATAGGCTTCACCAGACTGCCCAAGGGGTCCATGACACAGCAAAAGGTAAAGAAGCCCTGGTACAGAGAGCCTCTAGAATCCTTTCCAACGCTTATAATACTCAGATCCAAAGTAGAAGGACTTGTCTTTAAATGCCTGTCAATGAACAACCTGGCATCACCCTGTTGTAAAAATATCACTAATACAGGAGTATGCTGGAGCCAGCTAAAATCTGCTCAGTCAAGTGTTAAATTTTCAATATGAGCATTTTCACCCTTGGAAACTAGCAAACCCTACAGTTCAGGAATTGATTTATTATTTTATTGATTGTTTAGACTTAAGAAAGTGATGGGGGAAATGTTAACAATGCAAATTAAGCTTAAAAGTGTGTTGTCCATACTTTTTTTTTCTTTTTTGGCTAGCTGGCTGTTAAACACTTACCAGCACATGCTTTCTCCAGGTGATGGGGTGGGGTTAGTAGATTACGCAATCAATTCAAGAAGAGAATAGCAACTGAAAGTTTGGAAACCAGGACGTTGGTCTCAGTTGGTCCTCTCTCAAAGCCTGTTTCCTCCTCTCGATATTGAAGGAATTTGACTGGATGATCTATCTCTAAGCCCCTTTCAGCTTCTGATGACTTCTGAACTTCTTGACCTGCCCTAATCTTCTGGAGGTTTCCAGATTCTCAGTGCACCGCCCAAAAGGCAGCACCCCAACTGAGCACTGGAGATGAAATTTAATGAGGGCAAGGGATCTCGTCTGCCTCTGCTCTGGACACTGACTAGCCACGAAGTCTAAAATCCCATCGCATTTTTTAAGTTGTCCTATCACACACTGAGTTACGCTGAGTTTGGGGTCTAAGAACCTCCAGATAATTTCCCAAGAAACAGCTATGCCTTTTTGTTCTATCTGGGGCCCAATGGGGGCCTCCATGTGTAATGAGGTTATTGACCTGAGACCCCCAGTAAAGCGGCCTATACTCTACCGAGACCTGTCTAATGAGAAGAGACAAGCTTCAGCTGTGGTCTCTTCCTCAGTTTCAGGCCATGACTCGCCCCTTAGGGCTCAGGGAGAAATTCAAGGCACCCTTTAAACCAGGTGTTTGCCTTGGTCTGGAATAATAGCAACCATTAATGTTGGAAAGCACCATGGTGCTATGGTAAAAAAAAAAAAAAATCCTTGGACCTGGAGAGAGAGGACCCATCCTCCTCCCTGGTCACACTCCAGCTAGAGGAGCAACACTGAGAAACTAGAAGACGGTCTGAGGCAAGCAAGCAAGGTAGTGAAGAGACTTGAGTTCATTCATTTGAAGAAACTGGGAATATTTACCCTAGAGAAGACTTGGAGAGAGATGGATGATAGCGGTGGAAAGGGGACCATACTTGTCCTCCTTGGCCCCAGAGGGTAGAACCAAGAGGAATGGGGAGAAGTTATAAAGGGGCTGATTTAGGCCTGATGTCAGGAAAAATTTCTTGACCCCCAAGTGGAACAGGCTGCCTTGGGAGATAGTGAACGTCTTCAGGCTTCTAGAAGCGATATGACCCCTTGTCAGCCATGTTAAAGTGGGGATTCCTTTGTGACACGGGTTGAATGAGATGACCTCTGAGGCCCTTTCCAAATTTAAAATTCTGTGCCCTGGCTTCAAATCCGGGATCTGGCACTTAGTATTTGGTCTGTGTGGCCTCAAACAACTCATGTGACTTCTTTAAGGATGATTCTCTGTAAAATAAGAGGGCAGGCGTGAATGACACACAAGCACCGTTCAGTTCAAAATCCTAGTTTACACTTAGCCTTTACTCTTCGTTATTTTGGGAAGGAGAATGTTTAGTCTGAAGAAAAGAAGACTCGGGGTAGAAGCATATCTTTGAAGGGCTAGCATGTGGAAGAACGTTAAGGCTCGTTCTGTCTGGCTCACCTAGAAGCAATGGTAAGTGACCTGATCAAGCCCTCAGTCATTTACTTCTTAGGTGTGGGGACCCTACGCAAGTTGCTTCACCTTTGGTTGCCTCACTTTCCTCATCTACAAAATGGGGATGATAATAGCACTTACCTGCCAGGGTTGTTGTGAGGAAAAAATGAGGTTAACATTTGTAAAGCACTTTGCAAACCTTAGAACAGAGCATAATGTCAGAGCTGGAAGGGGCCTTAGACTATTGATTATTAGAATAGAGTGTTTCTGTGCAAAAAGGTCATACTTTTAATGATGGGATTTGAGATGGCTAGGCAGGAGGTAGAGGAGGAATTTTTTAGGGCAGATAAAGGTTCCTATCTAGTATTTTTTAAATTTTTTTTTTATTTTTAGGCAATTGGGGTTAAGTGACCTGCCCAGGGTCACATAGCTAGTAAGTATCAAGTGTTTGGTCTGAGGCCGGATTTGAACTCAGGTCCAGTGCTCTATCCACTGTGTCACCTAGCTGCCCCTTCTTGTCTATCATTAAAACCACACCTGGCAATAGTCCTATGCAACCAGGCATAATCCCCCTCCTTTCCTTGGGGTCAGGCTAAGGACAATCTAATGGCCTAGAAGGAAAGAGGCCTGGCCTTGGATTCAGGAAACCCGGTACGCAGCCTGGCTCTGACACTAATGGACTGTGTTACTTTGGGCAAAGGGTCTGGAGGTGATAGGCCATAAGTACTAGGAAGAAGCTCAGAAGCTGTCTAGTCTAACAGCGTCATTTCATAGAACACTTAGAAGGTAAATAGCAAGGTTATTATCCCCATTTTATAGAAGAAAAACTGAGATTGAAAAAAGTTAAATGACTTGACCAGGTTCTACAGCTAGGAAGTTTTGGAGCCAAGACTTGCCCAGGCCATTCGACTGGAAGATGAAGCTTTTTTCAGCCTGCCGTATTGTCTTCTCTGGTTGGCCTACAATGTGGTTCTGTGCCTCAGTTTCCACATCTGAAAAATGGAATTTGCTCCACGGTCCTCCCATGGCTATGGGGAAGATCTAATTAGCCTCTGAGAGGCTCTCATCACCTCTCACTGGCTATCACCGTAGCCTGAGGATGGATCTCTCTGCCTTAACTTTCATCCCACTGCCAGCCATCCTCCACTCAGCTGTCAAATTGAACTTTCCAAAGGCCAGGTCTGGCCATGTCACTCCCCTATTCAAGGGCTTATAAGTCTGTCATATCATCATCATCATCCTCATCATCTTCATCATTAACATTTATATAGAACTTACCATGTGCCAGACACTATGCTAAGCACTTTATGATTATTATCTTATTTGATCCTCACAATAACCCTGGGAGGTAAGATGCTATTATTATCCCCATTTTACAGATGAAGAAACTGAGGCAGAGACTAAGTGACGTGGTAGAATTTGAACTCAGGTCTTCCTGATTTCAAGCCTGGCTCTCTATCTACTTCGACACCTAGCTGCCTTTAAGCACTTAGT